GAAAATGCAGGGGCAATGCTGTCAGGCCTAGTTTTTAACAATGGATTATCTAATATAATAACAAAAGCACAAACAGCAAAAGACAAAATAAATAAATGGGACCTCATAAAAATTAAAAACTTGCGCATCGAAAGACATTACCAAAAAAGTGAAAAGACAAGCTACGACTGGGAGAGTATGTTCGGAAACTATGTCTGGTAAGAATCTAATACCCAAAATATATATATGAAAATTTGACAATTTAACAACAGAAAGACAATCCAAACAGAAAGATGATTTCAGGGGATAGTTTCAGTTTAAAGTTTAATGATTACCTCACGGCAATAATTTGGTGTGGGGAGGGTCATCCAGCCTCAATGGCTCCAGAAAGTCTGGAATTTATGAGAATCTGAAATTCTTTTCCACATTTTTTTCTCTTTTGATCAGTAATCTTCTACAGAATCTTTGATCAAAGCAGAACCAATACTTTTAACAGCTTATTTAATCTTTTCTTTTGGAATTATAAATAATGCTTAACAAAATGCTGATCAATTTTGTTTTAAACCCACCAACAGTCTTTCAAAGAATACGTGTACTTCTACTTACAAATACCCTTTTGCAGTTTCCTAGTTGTCTACACCTACTCCTCACTTGACTATCTCATCCTACATTTCGCATTTATGACAATAGTAAAAGATCTACTATCCGACCATTCTGCGCATTAGCATGGCAGAGGCTGGGGAGCAATTGCTGGGGAGCATCCTCCTCCTTGAGGAGAGTCTTTGGGCAGCCTCCTGGAAGCTGGCCCTGTTGCCCCACACCCTCTGCTCCTCCTGCCAGTGGGGGCACCTTGTCCAGCTGCTGCGCAGGGCCGGCCTCCTCTGTGGCCTCTGCCTTGGGCGGATGCACAGGCAACACCAAGCCAGCAGGTGCCTGCTATGTGTTCCCAGTTCCTGTGCAGCCTGAGGTCCTGAAGCTCAAGGTGGCTGTGGTGTAGGAAGGGAGGAAAGAAAGGCATTGGAGAGGGTGTTTGGAAGAAATACGTGCAAGTTTAATGGCATCCCAAAGTGAGCCGAACTGGGCCTGAAGCCTCTGCCTCAGTGGGGTCGGGTGCATGACCAGGCTCCCATCGCCCTCACAGGAAGCCCTGTGTCTAGATGACTCGCAAGGCCCAGAGCGTGAGTAGGCTCCCGGATCATGAGTGCAGGGCTTGCAGGGGTGGGAGAGGAGCCCCAGAGGCAGCTCTGCGAGGGAAGCTCTGACTCAGCACAGGAGGAAAGTGAAGTGGTTAAGCAGTGGGCCCTCCAGTCACACAGCCCGGCTTTTTCCAGCTTTGTCTCCTCCAAGCCTCCTTCTCTGCAGAGGAATAATCCATATCTGAACTTGTCACAGTGATGAGCACGTCAGTAAATCTTAGCTGTTATTATTTCTATGATCATACTTTCTAAATAAAAAAAAAAAAATTAGAACAAATGGATGGTGTGAAAACAGAAAAAAGAAAATCTTCCATTTCACGTAATGCTGATTTTCACATAATGACCTGGTCTTTGGAACCTAACCACATCCATAAGTGAGGAGTGGGTGAATTTCCATAATGAGTCAGAATTTTAGGGGGTTTTATACCAGTATTTTTACAATTTCTGTACTGTCTATTCTTCATCTACTCTGAATAATTTGTTCCAGGACCATTTTTCCGGACTGTCTCATTTTAAGTTATCTTTGGATGATGGGATAAAAGCTGACTTTTTGGTTACTACTGTATATTTTTGTGAATTTTCTGAACTTAAAAAATGATCATGTATTACTTTAATCAGGAAAATCCCTAATAAACATTTTAAAGTCAGTTTAAAACTTTTTAAAAAAAATAGTGTTTTACTGTGTTTTTGGTGAAAGTTTACACAGCAGATTATGTTCCCATTCAACAATTTTTACACAAATTGTTCAGTGACATTGGTTACATTCTTCACAGTATGTGAACATTCCCATTGTTTCCATCCTGGTTGTTCCATTTCCAGTAATCTAGTTTCCCTGTCCCCTTACAGTTTTTTTTTTTTGGTATAGTAATTGTTGGCTGGTCTCATATAAATCATTTTTTAAGGGAATGCAGTACTCACAGGTGATATTCTTTATTTTGTGGGCCAATCTGGTATTAAGCTACAAGGTGATCTCAGGGGATAGTTTCTGTTCAAGGTTTAAAGAGTATTTCAGGGCAATAAGTCTTCCAATTTCAACCAGTCCAGGAATTATGGACTTTTTAAAGAATCTGAGGTTCTGTTCCACATTTTTCTCCCATTCTATCAGGATTCATTTATTGTGGCCCTGATCACAATGGTCAGTAGTGGCAGCTGGGCATCATCTAGTTCTTCTGGCCTCAGGGTAGATGACGTTGTGGTTCATGTAGACAGTCCTTAGACAAGTTTTTTCTCTGAGTCTTGGGATTCCTTCTATCTCTTTTGTTCTGGACGAGTAGAAATCAATAGCTGTATCTTAGACAGCCACTCGCAAGCTTTTAAGATCCGGGACACTACTCACCAAACTAGGATGTATAACATAAACTTTATGAACTATATTATGTCAACTGACCAAGATGTCCCATGAGATGATGGTCCTAAACCTTCAAACCCAGAAAACCAATCCCGCCAAGTGTTTGGTAATGTCTAAGAAGTATCCATAACTGTGCCCCCTATGTGCTTTATTATATATATGAATATGCATGCACACACATACATGCATATGCATGTACATAAACCTATATATACCCATACTTACATATACATACCTATACACGTATCTGCATATGTACATACATATATACCCACACATGTTTTTTGGTTGCTGTTGCAAAATTATATATGCCATAGCAATTACCAAAAGGTACTTTCCTCTTGTGTAGGTTTTAGTGACATCTCTTGCCTTGGTCAGGCCGTGCACACTTCACCCATTATTTGGTGTTGTGCTTCCCATCACCAAAAATAACAAGTGTTTACTATCTAGAGAGTGATTTTCCCTCTCCTCCCCCCCATTCCCATCCCTGGTAACCTCTAATGAATGTTGGTTTCTGTATATATACCTATTCTTGTCTTTTTATAAAAGTGAGATAAAATATTTGTCCTTTTTGTGATTGACTTATTTCACTCAGCATAATGTCCCCCAGATTCATCCACATTATGTTGAGTACTCATCATTAGTTTTTATGGCTGCATAGTATTCCATCTTTTTGCTATTGTGAATAGTGCTGCAATGAACATAGGTGTACATATGTCTGTTTGCATCTTTACTATTAGATCTCTAGGGTATATATCTAGAAGTGGGACTGCGAGATCATTAGGTAGACCTATTTCTAGTTTTTTGAAGAAGCGCCTATACTGTTTTCCATAGTGGTTGTACCATTTTACAATCCCACCAACAATGGATAAGGGTTCCTATCTCCTTGCATCCTCCCCAGCATTTGTTGTTTTTTTTAATCAGTGACATTTTAGCAGGGGTGATGAATCTCTCCAATGGATAATGATTGCGAATATCTTTTCATGTGTTTGGTGGCTGCTTGAATTCCTCTTTGGTGAAGTGTCTGTTCATGTCCTTTGCTCATTTTTTAATTGGATTGTTTGTCTTTTTGTTGTTGAGTTGTTGAAGTTTTCTATATATTTTAGGGATTACACCCTTATCAGATATGTTGTTCCTGGAGATTTTTTCCCAGTCTGTAGGTTGTCAGTAGCAAGTTGGAGATCTAGCACAACAACTAAATCTTAGAATAGTACAAAAAATCTCATTTCAACACTTTATATAATCTATTCCTTAAAATAAGAACAAACCAAGACCCAACAAATAAGATTTAAATTAGATTACAGTGGGAGGTGGGATAGCACAGAAGAAAACCTGAGTTCTAGTTAAAATTCAGTTGAACTGGATGCTTCTACCAGGTAAACTATTCTCTTATGTACCCTTATTTGTAAGATGTGAAGAACAGGAATCTATTTCATGGAGATGTCGGCACTTGGTTCAGTATATAATTAGAGCTCAGTAAGTACTGATCAAGAGAAACTGCTTCTTGAGTCTATATTTTTCAGAACATAGACATAAGAGTCCTGGCTCTATTGTACCAATTTGAGAGGGGAGGAGTTGTAATTTAAGTGTGAAGTTTCTTTTTTATATTTGGCGGTGGGGGAGGCTTTGGTGTGGAGAGAGGTGTTCTGATGGGACAATTGTCTTATTCATCCACAATTATTGTCTTTATAGTCAATTGGCCTTTGCATAACTGAGCTACTGGAATGGAATCACCTACAAGATAGCATCTTCCATTCTAAAGCCTTAATCTAACATTTTTCATTTTAGTCTGTTAAACTGGCCAAAAGTATTATTTTAGTGAAGAAATATCCATCAAAATGCAAATAAATCAAGACCACAGCAGGAAGAAAGACACATTGATTTCATGAATAATTCTTTGAATGGCATGAGGAATTTAAATACCTTATGAAATCAGGAACTGTGTTTTTTTTTTTTTTAGTTTTTAGTCTAAACCCAAATTTAGATAAAGGTGGTGTTTGGTAGGGGGTGGGAGGCAGATGAAATCAAGGAGGGGTATACAGGGATCTTCAACAGTGTGAGTAGTTTTGTTTCTTTAGCTAGGTGGTGGATACATGGGTGTTCATTGTATTATTCTTTCATACCTTTTTGTATCTCTTAAATATTGCCTAAACACTTTTAAAAAGAAAAAAAAACTGAAAAACAGTATAATATTCACAGCTTCATTTTGCTTCACATACTGGCAAATACTAGACCATTACTTACTTCTAGTACACGTGACCAAGGGTGAACAGAGAATCTTCTTTCATAATAGCAGACTTAGGTGTTAAGAAAGTAGGAATCAATATCCCCAACCTTCCCAGTGGTTCTTGTTCTCAAAAAAGTCTGGGTTAGCAATTAAAGGTTGCTTTTAATTGCTCGTTTTAGCAGCAAATGATTGGTACAACAAAAGCAATGTGCCACACCTCAAAGTGTAACTCCTCAGCTGAGTAAATTACCTCAATTTCTTGTAACTGCTCCTGATTGGTTGTGTACATCTGCTGAAGAGAATCCTCCAACTCCGTGTTCCGATCCAGTAATGTCTTCCCAAGCTCAGCAGCAAGTTGGAGATCTAGCACAACAACTGAATCTTAGAATAGTACAAACAATCTCATTTCAACACTTTATATAATCTGTTCCTTAAAATAAGAAGAAACCAAGACCCAACAAATAAGATTTAAATTATATTACAATGGGAGGTGGGATGGCACAGAAGAAAACCTGAGTTCTAGTTAAAATTCAGTTGAACTGGGGACTTCTACCAGGTAAACCATTCTCTTATGTACCCTTATTTGCAAGATGTGAAGAACAGTAATCTATTTTATGGAGATGTATTCATTAGTTCAGGAATTATCATTCAGCATTGTGACTTCTAAGATCATAAACCAGTTGCCATGGAGTTGCCTCCAACTCATGGCGACCCCATGTGTGTCAGAGTAGAACTGTGCTCCACAGGGTTTTCAATGGCTGGTTTTTCGGAAGTAGATCACCAGGCCTTTCTTACAAGGAGCCTCTGGGTAGATTCGAACTACCAAACTTCCAGTTAGCAGCCAAGTACCTGTGTGCATCACCCAGGTACTCCTTTAAGATCACAATTATCTGCTAATGGAATGGACTTATTCATATCATGACAGTACACTTTTTAAGATGTCTAAATAAGCCAAAAAGAGACAGTAATTAGCCCCAGAATAATTTCTCCTTTTTTGGATGGACCCTTGAGCCAAAGCCCAAGTGACCTTTTAACTGACTTGAAAGCAACTGGTTTTACTGGTAAAGTTCCCATGAATCCAGCTGCTGTGAATGCAACTGTTAAAGCAAAGTTTATTTTATTTTATTGTTGTACTTTAAGTGAAAGTTTATAATTCAAGCTAGTCTCTCATACAAAAATTTATACATACCTTGTTATGTAACCCTAATTGCTCTCCCTATACTATGACAGTACACTCCTCCTTTCCACCCCTGATTTCCCGTGTCCATTCAACCAGCTTCTAACCCTCTCTGCCTTCTCATCTCACCTCTGGACAGGAGCTGCCCATTTAGTCTCATGTATCTACTTACGCTAAGAAGCACACTCTTCACTAGTATCACTTTATGTCCTATAGTCTAGTCTAATCTTTGTCTCCAGAGTTGGTCTCGGAAATGGTTTTAGTGCTGGGTTGACAGAGAGTCTGGGGGCCATGCTTTCTGGGATTCCTCTAGTCTCAGTCAGACCATTAAGTCTGGTCTTTTTACTAGAATTTGAGTTCT